CTCTGCCCAAAATGGAAATCCGAAAAAGAAGTACAGACTCTTAAAGTTACCAGGAACATCTCGTATGCTGAAGCCAGAAAACTAGTTCAAAGCACACAGCTCCAATCAAACAAATCTTATGCCAGTGCAGTTAAAACAACACGTAGCATTGCCACCCAAACATCAATAGGCACGCAGACTAAACCAAATAAAACCCAACCAACCACATCCACCAAGAAAACGGAAAATGCAACTCATTTAATACAAAAAAAAGAAACAGTCATTCAAAGTAAACCTAAAATTGAAAGTCACAAAATAATTAATAAAAATAGAAGTCCCAGCAATAGCTCTTTTGACGAAATGATTTCTGAATCTGCGGATTCAGACACTATGGAAGTAGAGGAGGGTCTAGAATTTCCCAGGCATCTACTTCCACGAAAAACCAAACAAGAGCACAGAAAGAACAAAAACCAGACATAATGGCCACCCTCGTCTCATGGAACTGTCGCGGTTTCCACCGAAATTTGCTCGACATCAAAGCCATAATTAATGCTTATCATCCTGTATGCTTCGCAGTACAGGAAACAAATCTAAAACCAGAACAACAGGCAAAACTTCGGAGGTTTTCCTTCGTCAGGAAAGATAACCTTGCAGGTGAGCGTGCCAGTGGAGGTGTAGGTCTCCTCACCTCACTGGATTATCCCTCAAATGTGCTTTCTTTGACGACATCCCTCCAAGTTGTCGCTACTCAAACAAATTTTGATTTTGTTGTTACAGTCGTTTCTCTGTATTTGCCTCCAAATGAGCATATTGATCAGCAAGATTTAAATGGTCTTTTAGAGCAGCTGCCTGAGCCTTTCATCATAATAGGAGATTTTAACGGCCATAGTCCGCTCTGCTCTGGGTAGTAGTAAGGATACTAATTGCCGAGGAAGACAAATTGAGCAGATGATCGAAGATCATAGCCTTTGTCTCCTCAATAATGGGCAAGATACTTACTTCCATGAGCCTTCAAAAACATTCCATGCTCTCGACCTTGCCATCTGTTCACCATCTCTGTTGCCTTTTTGCACTTTTAATGTGGGTAAAGATCTTTACAACAGTGATCATTATCCCATTCTTGTGTCTCTTGCACGAAGAGGAGCAAACCCCATGTCGAGATCCCCTCGATTCATACTGGACAGGGCAGACTGGGAACTCTTCTCTTCCATTGCAGAGCTCACAGATGAAATGGTAGAAGATGCGCATATCGATGACGCTGTTGAAGCTGTTACTAATACTATTATTCAGGCAGCTATGCTTTCGATTCCTAGAACATCAGGAAAACTACTAAAATATTCAAAACCATGGTGGAATCGCGACTGTCATGAAGCACTGAAAAAACAGAAAAAAGCATGGGGTATTTTTCGTAGATATCCTACTCTGCGAAACCTCATAGCCTTTAAAAGAGCCAAAGCAAATGCACGAAAAGTAAGAAGGCAGAGCCAGAGGGATTCCTGGATTTCATATGTGTCGTCAATAACATCCTCCACGCCTAGCAAGCGGGTTTGGGAAAGAGTTCGAAAAGCATGCGGCATATATAAAGACCACTCACTTTCCTTTTTGGAAAAAGATGGCCGAGTGATTAGCTCCATAGAAGAAATTGCGAAATACTATTGGTGAGACATTTGCTTGCCGTTTCTTCCAGCAGAAACTATACACCTGCATTTCTTTCTATGAAGCAGCACTCTGAAATAAATCCCATCGCATTCAACTCTTCCAAATCTGAGCCTTACAATAGAGACTTTACTATGGTTGAACTAAAGAGAGCTTTGTTGCAGACACATAGGTCTTCTCCGGGTCTTGATGGAGTGAATTATGAAATGCTAAAGCATCTGTCCTGTAAGTCACTGAATGCCCTTCTCACACTTTACAATAGAGTGTGGAAGGAGCGTACATTTCCCAGTGCATGGAGGAGAGCTGTTGTCATTCCTATTCCTAAGCCAGGGAAAGATCCAAGGAATCCCTCCAACTATCGGCCAATTGCCCTTACGAGTTGCCTCTGCAAACTGTTTGAAAAGATGGTAAACAGCCGCCTAGTCTACTTCTTGGAAAAGAATGATATTATATCGCCTTATCAGAGTGGTTTTCGAAAGGGAAGAACAACTGTAGATAACATGCTCCTCTTAGAGACATCTATTCGAAAAGCATTTGTAAGAAGAAGCCACCTTGTCTCGATATTCTTCGACATTGAAAAAGCTTATGATAAGGCATGGAGATACGGTATACTCCGGGATCTTCACGAGAGTGGCTTGCGCGGCAACCTACCAATTTTCATTCAAAATTTCTTGAACACTAGAACTTTTCAAGTAAGAATTGGCTCTGTTTTTTCGGATGTTTTTGAACAGGAAGAGGGTGTGCCTCAAGGCTGTGTGCTCAGTGTAACCCTGTTTAGTTTAAAAATAAATTCTGTACTAAAAGAACTTCCTCCCACCATCTTGGGATCTCTATATGTTGATGATCTGCAGATTAGCTGTCGAGGAGCAGACATGAGATATGTAGAGAGGCAACTGCAGATGGCTCTGATTAAGATCCAAGAATGGTCAGACAAACAGGGATTTACATTTTCGAAACAGAAAACTGTCTGCGTGCACTTTTGTAGGAAGCGAGGTCTCCATCCTGAACCTGAGTTATACTTGAATGGTACAATTATTCCAGTTGCGCCTGAAGTAAAATTTTTAGGAGTGACGTTCGACCGAAAATTGACTTTCCTTTCTCATGTTTTAAACCTGAGAAAGAAGTGTCTAAAAACACTAAATATTTTAAAAGTGTTGGCGAACACCTCCTGGGGTGCAGAGCGTTGCTCCATGCTTCGCATTTACAGAGCGCTTATCCGCTCTAAACTGGACTATGGCTCAGTTGTTTATGGATCCGCTCGGTCATCTGTTTTGTTAAAACTGGATCCTGTTCACCATCAAGGTCTGCGGATTTGTTCAGGAGCTTTCAGGACTTCTCCTGTGCAGAGCCTATATGTTGACTGTAACGAACCATCACTTTATCTGAGGCGTGAGCAATTGTCCCTTTTGCAATATTTTAATACTCTATCTCAACCTGAACATCCCAATAAGCTGTGCTTACTTGATAATGAGTGTAACACATTATTTGAAACACGTCCATCCTGTGTTCCTACTTTCCCTTTAAGAGTTCGCCCTGTCATTGAGGAACTCTCCCTCTCTGATATGCACCCCCAAGCAGTACAGAATTTTGAAATTCCACCTTGGGAAAATTCACGGATCCAGCTTCTTGATGTTTTTAAACATCACGTAAAGGCGAGCACTAACGAGATCGTTTACAGACAAACTTTTCGCTGAGCACAGGCACAAATATAGCAGTTATTATCCGATATACACAGATGGATCAAAGTCAAATGATCATGTCGGGATGGCTTTTGTATTTGAAAATTACATAGAGGGCAGATGCCTGCACCATGCTTTCTCTGTCCTAACATCTGAACTAACTGCAATATATTATGCTCTTTTGTACATCTCAAAGCTCTGCCACAAAAAGTTCATAGTTTACACAGACTCGTATAGTGCTCTTAAATCCTTGGAAGCTTTTCCCAACGCTCAGAATCCTGTGGTAGTGGATGTTCTCAAAATTCATAGAAATTTAATGATACGAGGATATGAAATCCTGTACTGCTGGGTTCCCGGGCATACGGGAATAAAGGGAAACGAGCTTGCAGACATCGCGGCAAAATCTGCTGCTGTCGAACTGTCCAGTCGCCTTATCCCTTTTAGAGACATCTGCTGTGTCATCAAGGGAAAGATACGAAAAAAATGGCAGCAAATTTGGGATGTTCAGCATCAGCATCACAACAAGTTGAGAAACATCAAACCTAGAATTGAGCATTGGGATTTTGCTGGAAATCGTAAAGAGGACGTTCTTTTGACTCGACTCAGAATTGGTCATACCAGAGTCACACATAGCTATCTTCTTAAAGCTGAAAATGAGCCTGTTTGTTTTAATTGTAATGTTTGTTTATCTGTTCGTCATATTTTAATTGAGTGTCCAATGTTTTAATAGTCTTCGCCAGAAATATTTTAATAGCTGTGACTTACCTCTCGACCGTTTAATCGGAAGAGAGGTCAATTCTAATTTATTTTATTATTTAAAAGAGATTGGCTTTTATTACCAAATGTAATTTGTTTTGAAGACTGTGTCTTGAATGTTAATATGTGCTTTTAACTTGTTTTTATATGACTTCATCCTCTGGATTTGGTACATTTATCTACTTGTTTTTATTTATTGAATTTTAATGTCATCAATTGTAATCATCTCATCTTTTGTTTGGCGCGTCATAATCATCTCTGGTTTTTGCGCCATCACTCACTCACTCCTTAATTGCTGGAAGATCATAATATATATTTGATCATAGAAGTCAGTTTTATGCGCTACAGATTTTTTTGACGATCACTATTTATCTTTTTTGTTTTTAATCCTTAAATTCCTATTCTTATATACTATTATATTAGCCCTGTAATCCAGCTGCTATGCGTGATATTGTCACCTGATATAGAATGTGTATAAACCTTGCTGCTTGCTTTCTTCCACAACCAGTAGAAACCTGATGTCACCTAGTAATCATTTCATTTGTAACAACTCCCTGTGTATTTAATTTACATCTTTAAAATTCATACATGAAATTTATTGAATTTGATTAGCACTCTCCTTGTTGTTTCAGCTTTTTTAAAATATCAATATGCAATTAAAAACTAGATTTGAAAATGGCCCTGTTTAAATAAATATTTGAAAATGTTCATATATCAAAGTTTTTTTTTATTATCAAATTATAATTCATATTGAATTTATATATGCAAATTTAACTTAGTGTTTTATTTCACTGAAGAGCTAAATTTGTTTACAGTGCATAGATTTAATGTATTCATAAAATACTGTCTTGCCCCCCCCCTCAAAAAAGAAATTTTAATGCTTTTATATTATTATAATTGATTTTTATTATCAATTCCTTCTCCTTATAGCCTCCTCCTCCTCAGTTACGAATATCTTCAAATGTAGACCAAAATATTTTGTCAAACCCATCCTCATCTCAAAACCAACCAGGAGATCTGTATTCATCTCAGAATCAACCAGTAGATCCACCTTCATCTCATATCCAACCAGTAGTCCCATCTTCATCTCAGAACCAACCAACAGAGCCATCTTCATCTCAAAATCAACCTGGGAGTGGAAATGAGAGTAATGGATTTTATTTGTAAAAAAAAATTCAGATAAAAATATGGTTTTTATTTTTAATAATTTTCATAAATGTAATATTGTTGAATTTCTAATTTAGAAAATAAGCATTTGAATTTTGATTCCAGGTTATTAGAAGGTGATAAAGCTCTTAACAATTTTTTTTCTTGTATTTATTACGCAAAATAAATTTTATGTGGAATTTATTCAATTGATTATCAATAAATTTTAAATAATTAAGGATTAAAATATTAAAATTGGTGAATAACTTTTAACATACAGCAATATTAGTGCTTCAGTTGTGTTCATTGAAGGACATACTATGTAAATGAAATTTAATAACTAATTTAAAGTGAAAAAACCATTGTAAACCATAATTCTTTATATGAAATTTGTATAATACTCTAAATTAAAACATTTTCATGATACAGTTTAGTTTTAATGTTATTGATAAATAAATTTATCCTGCTGAACAAAATTAGAATATAATGCAGCATGTAACCGATGTTGAAAGATGCACAGTTAAATCAATTATTAGTATACAACCGTGAGGAAAAATAGTAGTAGTAAACTAGTAAAAAGTAGCCTTAACCACTTGCCTGTTTTGGCTGTGTACCATACGAGTGCCTTTATTGATTTTCATGAATGCTATGGAGAACAGCTTCAGTTCTGTTTGCATTTTTACTTTGTTGCGATAAGGTGTAATTTTTGAGGTTACATTCTACAATTTTGCATGAAACTAACCTGATATTTTCACTCAAAGTGCAAAAGCATCGGTGTAAATAATACATTTGCATCTTTTCAGATCCAAAAAATTGCCTAGCCAAGTGGTAAAGAGGTCTAATACCCTTCAGAACGACTTAGCTACATCAGACCAGTTTGTATGTAGAGAAAGAGGCAGACCCAAACATTTTTTATTTAAATGCTCCCTCACAGCTGAACATCACTGAAAAGGCCCCGAATTCAGAAAGTGAAATGACTCCTTTTTTTAAAATATACCACCAAAAACAATCATCTCGGGGAAGGGGGGGAATCATAAATATAATGAACTTCCTGTCCACAAGAAGCATTGAGTTTGCAACACAGCATAGAATAATATAACAAAGATATTACCTCAAACATCGCATGTAAGCAGACCTGGAGCTGTCCACCATAGCATGTAAGTGCAAAAGACGCCAACTGTGAAAACATCAATGTAAAAAAAGGCACTGCCCGTGGTGAGGTATGCGCCAATACAATGTATTGCAAGCTATGTCTGGCAGGGTCCCATGTGAGCCCTGTGGGGTGTAATAATCTGGATAACTAGTGTGCCTAGACAACACCCACATTGCCAATGTTTAAATAGTGGTTGTCTATCACACTTCAGAATATCCATACCCATATTCCCATTAGAAGGGGCACAGTGCGCGGTGTGGAACATAGCTATGGGCCTTCTCGAGTGTATTTATCTGGTAATTAGTGCGGTTGATCAATACCCACTTAGCCAGTTATTAAACAAAAGGATATCACTACACATCATCATATTCATATGCACCCCTCTAGAACACTGCACAACAAGGAAGGACCGAATCACACTTGCGAGAAGGGGAATTTCTGTCTCAGTTTTCAAGAGAAACACTCTAAGGGATGAATCCTAAGCTCTCCTGCCCTTTTTCCCATCAATCTCTCAAGAGGACTTTTGACTGGCCATATTTAGAGTGCACCAATGCCACAAAAATCACTGTATGCTTACAAATATTCTTACAGATCTCGAATCTAGCTGAAACTTAATTGGTGTACAAGTAATTAAAATTGTTTTTACCATAAAATAATGACAAAATGTATGCAGAACATTTCTTGCAATTCAGACTAATTCAGAATCCAAAATGTCTGTAAATGGTTCTGGAAGTTCTTGAGATGGCTTCAATACTAGTATAAAAACGTGGCAGTAAAGATATGGATTTACACTTTTAATCAGATATAATCATTTGACTGATTGATAGGAGCAGTAGAAGGTAAATGAAGGTCTTCCTAGATGTTTACCAGCTCTGCTAAGACTGTAGTAGAGACATTTTTAGAGGTGATTTTATCTGCAGGTGGGGGGATAAGATCCACAAGACAGTGTTCTGTATGTTCATTGAAGAAAAAATGGCAAAAGAATAAGAAAAAGGGGTCTTTTGGAGGGGTGTTGGACTGTGCCTCTTGTCATCTTTTTAAGATACATCACACTAAATTAGAAGTTTGAAAAAAAAAATAATAAATATGGTTGTACTGATTGTAGTTCAAGATGAAAGTAATTGTATTTTTTTACCATAAAACTAAATGTAACTTCCCTGTTAGGTGCTTGTGTAGAAAGAAAAGATAACTTCCAGGAAAAATATTGATATTATATTTGCAGTAAAATCATTGTTCTAAATGCTTAAAAATATTGCAAATGTTCGAATTAATTACATTTTCATACTTACAAATGTAAAATGGACAGAAAAATGCAAGATTGTTATTATAGAATTCGGGGGGAAAAGTTGCTAAGTGAATAAATAATATGAAACAAGGAAAAATATAGGAAATATGAAACATTATATCAGTATAGGATCAGCTTATACTGAACATTTTGTGGACTGAATGTAATAAATAATCTCAGTATAAATGGAATGGTTAGTATGGAAACTGTTTCTATAAAAAAAAATCTTAAAAACTATTGAACTGTTACTTAAAATCTGTAACCTGTTTAAATAAGTAACATACCTATATGTCGTAATTAATGAGATTATCCATGATCTCTTATTTTGTACTTAATCGGCATTTAAAGAGTGCATTTCATTCAATAAAACTTGCTTTAGATAGAAATGACTGATAACTAACCGCTCTCATTATGATGTAAACAATCTGATAAGCTAGCAGGCTAGTCCATGTATTTCACAACCCTGTCTTCTGTTGTTGTGAAATATAATATTCACTAATAATGATGTCCTCAAGGCTACCTTAAAATTTGTTGCTTCTGTTACTGTATATAGGATGATTTTAAAACATATACCAAAAATTTAGAGGCAAGAAATATAAGAGGAGACAAAAATAAGCAGATTTTGTAATAGAAATGCCATTGGAAGTACTTTGATGTGTGTGATATTAACTCTATAATTATTAATATAATTAACCATAACCGGCTTTATCCGATCATGAGATTTTTTTGTCACTTTTTATATATTAGTTTATAATTTAAGATATTTTACTTTCTTACTTTCATTAATAATATGAATGCCATCTTGATGAATGCAAGTTTATGAAAATAGAGACTAAAATAGATGAATATACATATTTAGCTAATAAAGGCTCTTTAAATACAAGTCTTCATGACAGATCCAAAAATCTGGACCACTCAGAGGGTTAATATTAACTAGTTTCCCTTAACAAATTGTTCATGAAGGTAGATAATGTTTATATGCTTTGTTGTAATAGCCAGACTATTAATACTTATATAACTTTAGTCTATAAAAACTTTTTTTTTCCTATGAATAGAAAGCTTTAGGTTCTTCATTCTTATTTTGACTCTTTTGACAGCTCCTTTAATATTTGTACCTTGTTATGTAGTTATGGGTCTCATTTTCTTATCAGCAGCTAAAAAAAAAAGATGCTACACAAAGCAGTTATGAGTTTCAATAATGTAAGTTTATATAGGCAATATGACAAATATATAATTGCAAAGAATGTGTGCAATAAAAGAGAAAACATTAGTGAAAAAAGAGAAAATTAGCATATCTAATGCAATTGTTGGGAACTAGTAAAAATGATAAACTTTGAAAATGTCTTAAGCATGTTCCTTTAACTATACGTTTTTGTCATCTTGTCAGACAATCCAATGGACTAAATGAATTTACGAAAAATCCAATGAATAAAAATGAGTGCTGTGAAACCTCAGATTATGAATGCTTCAATGTACCAACAAATTTTGGCCAAAAGTTTGTATTACAGCATTTTATTACATACATTAGACATAGATTGGATGGTACTCATGATGTTACGGAAAATGTCATAATTCGTATGTAAAAATAAATTTTTGCATTATTATACAACATAGGATAATAGTAACTGAAACCCTTAATCGCCAGCTACAATGCAATCATTATGTAATTGTGTTTAAGTCTATTTAGTACTTATCTATTCTATGGAACATTAAACTTAGTAATTGTCAAATAGAAAAAAAAAAAAAGAAAAAAAAAACTCCACCATAAAACTTAAAATTGGGTAAAATTTCGACCTTAAACTACATAAATAAAACTATCAGTTTCAAGGCAATCAAACACAGGTTCCTCTTCTTCAGGCAGAAAAAAATTTGCTAATTTGTTTGCTCAATAAGAAAGGGGCCTATGTCTGATTGCCCTTGAAACTGATAGGGTTGGTTTTAAAATGAGCAACAAAATAAGGTTGCTGTTTTGTCTAATTTTCAAATAGTAATTGTGTTTAAACATCAACTTATTTCTAATTCACAGTTAACATAGTGGGCAGTTATATTGTACGTAGGCTGATGGCTAATGTTTGCCCTACAAATTTAGATTTCTTACAATGTAAGCGTGAGAAAGAACGAAAGGAAAAAGTTTATTTTTTGAGAAATTCTGTAATTCTTAAGGAAGGTAGGAAAAAGAGTTACTTCCTTTTCTTTTGCTCTGAATTTTGTAGTTCGAAATATTTTTAGTTTAACAGCAGCTGCTACCATGAGCAGAAACACGCATGCGCCATTCAGCTGATTTATTTTCAAAATAGGATGGATGGACATAAATCACATTGTAGGAATTTTTCTGCCTCTGTAATATGTGTATTTTCATTGCATTCAGAGCATAGAATCAAAAATTTAAGAAGTATAATATATGAAATATAAAAATATGAGTGTTTTTGAAAGTTAATTTTGCAGTATTTATGTAATTTTATGATAAAGTATAATAAATAATTAATTGTAAAACAATTCATATTATAATTAATAATTATCTAATATTAATAATAATTATCTTTGAGCTAAAAGTGTGCAGTAATGTACACTCAATATCCACACACAAAAAACTTTAAGAGTTAGTTATATTGATTTTATGATAATAAATTATTATAGTATTTATTTAATTAATTATATTAAATAATTGTTGTATTTTTTATTTTTGTACTAAAATCTGTATGCATTATTAAACATATTTAGATGAGGGAATTATTATAGGAAAAAAAAAGAATGAAAAAAAATTCTGTAAAAGATCACAATATTAGTAAATGTCATGTTCAGTCGATTATAATGCGGGGAAATTCTGCTCAAATGGGGTGCTCAAATAATTATTATAATTGGTTATAATAACTTTATGATAAGAAATATTTAATTATATTATAATTAATAATTATATATATTTTTATCTGTGTGCTGAAAGGCATATGCATTAATGTACACATAATACTCCCTGAAAAAAAATAAGTTAT